CACCAAACTCCAAGCTACGATCCGACCTACCAAACTTCGTTATCAGGGCCCAAACGCGTACCTGATCACGAAGCAGTATATCTGGACTCAACGCCTCAGAGCTAACTCGTAACAACGGAGGCGCCGCCTTCTCTATCACAGAGCTCAGAAGAGAAGCGGCAAAAAATGTTATCAGCGGTCTCTCTAAGGCTATGGACCTACAAGAAATCCGTGAAGAACTCACGCGAAAAAAACATACCAGTCTTCTCACATCGCACGAACTGAGCGCGTAAGGTGTCGGTTGAAAAAACCAACAGCAAACGGAAAGTGCGGAAAAAGTTTGAACCTTAGGCCTTATCACTGAAGTTAACTTCGAAAGACTCGGGGCTCTTAAAGCGCTGAAGATCACTGTGCACCCACGCAGTATGCTTTCGAAGAACCCGCGGGTTCCCGCGCAATTCAAAAACGACAATGCCGGACGTTGCGCTGGGCTCGGCCATACAAACAAAGGCTGCTTCAAACCAGCAAAGTGCACGGCAATGCGCCGCACCACTTCGCCTCAGAATGCCCTCAAATCAAATACTAGCCTCCACTGCTTTAACTGCAACGGCAACCCACGCCGCCAACAACCGCGACTGTCCGCGCATACATGCAGGTCCGCAGCACTGCGCCCCGAACAGCTTAACCGCGCTTCCGCAGCCGGCTCGCCAGGCAGAGGCTGCTGCGCGCAGGGCGACAGCCAACGTCCCCAGGCGCTACTGATTTCCCGCACTGAGAACGAGGAGAACACGCTCGCGAGCAACCCGCCACCGGCGCCACAACTCACGGGAGCCAATCAGAACAGCCCCCCGACCAATCAGACCGCACCAAGACCCCGGCCATCGCCACCAGCGCTACCACATGATCTGACGAATCACGACACACCATGACTCCCAAAGAACCAATCACGACGCACGACGACCTACCAACATCTCCGCAGAAAACCAACGCTCACCACTCGCTGATATTCGCGAATTATTCGACCTATTCAAGTCAATAAATCTCAAAAAATTAGTAAACGTAACCAAAACTAGTATCGCAGCCCTCAAATCACCAGACGACATCTTCACAAAAATCTCCACCATCCTCAGCGGAATTACAACAGTACAGTAATGGCCCGACCAGTTCACGACAAAATCATAAAGACCGCATCCTGGAATGCAGGAAGCACCCTGACTGACCCCGCAAATAAGGAACTTTTTAAACAATTCCTTAAAGACTACTCAATTGAATCTGCTTGCTTCAAGAAACCTGGTTCAAAACCAAGACAAAATCCAACGTTACCGGCTACCAGAAACTTACAGAAACGACCGACCGACTCAAGGAGGTGGCACCGCCATCCTCGTCAAAAAAATCCCTCCCACACGCCGCTACAACCATTCCCACATTGACCGACTGCGAAGCGACGGCCATTGAACTAGGAACGACAACAGGCGCAATAACCTTCACCTCTCTCTACAAACGACCACAAGCTACGCTCCATGACACAGACATAGACATACTGTCGAGACTGGGCGCCACCATCGTCATCGCGAGAGACCTCAACGCAAAAAGAAGAGAATGGGGCAGCCACGACAACAACACCGCAGGAAGAAAACTCTTGACTTACGTTAACAACTCGACCAACCTGACAATCTCCCCACCAACGGGATGCACGTACCTTGTACGCGGCACGCCCCACAACATCCTCGACATTGTACTCCACAGCACTTCTCTAACACCGTCAGTTCCCCAACCACTCTTTGAACTACACTCCGACCACCTCCCGATCCTATTTGCACTCTATCTCGGAGCCTTTCCTTACCACCACCCTCAAAAACCCAACTTTACTACAAACTGGAAAGAATACCGAGACCGACTGGCCAAAAATGGCCTACAGCAACAAAAAACTTAACTCCACGAAAGAAATCTACGACAAACTAGACACAATTACCAACCAGATACGATCTTCTTACAAACGACATACCACCAAAACAAACAGACAACTACAAACACCCCTTCCCAACAACATCCTTCACTCCATCAGAGAAAAAAGAAAAGCCCAAAGACGCTTCTACCAAACCCGCGATCCAATTCAAAAATCCCTCCTCAACCACTACAAAAAACTGATCCCCTCGCTTCTCCTCGAATACAGAAACCAGCAATGGAAAGACTACCTACTAAAAGCCGACATAAAAGACAGACACGACATATTGAAACTTCAAAAAGCTCTACGCAACCCGTCGCCGCCCATCATAGCCCTAGAAGACCTGACAACAAGAGACATGACTTTCGACCCAAACAGAAAAACTACTATCTTCGTTCAACTACTCAAAGAGAGATTTACGCCTCTGCCCGTTCAAACGTACGCGCGCAGCAGCTCCGCACCAAACCGCCCGTACCGTCACATGCGTACGCCCCATGTGGGCGTACGCATGTGAGGTATTCGCGGCTGCTTCTCCCTCCATTCTGCGCCCAATCCGGGTAGCAGAGAGCGGCGCGCCTCGTGGCGTGCCCTTTTTTTGTCTCATACCACATCCGACAGAACTCCCAAAAACGCTGATGTCTTCAGAATCTTAGGCGATCGCAACCAGTTCCCGGAGGAGCTGCAAAAGACGACGAAGACGGCGGTCGCAAGGACGCTGAGGCCAAAAAACATGGAAATGTAAGTTGAGGGAATGTAAGTTAGTATTAAATGAATTAACACTCTATGTTCTTTCTTTCAGTTCTTAAAATGTTACATTTTTTTAAATTTTAAATTATTAGTAATCTTTTATTATAATTTTGTTATCAAAAAATATTCACGTTTTAATGTTGCTTTTTTTCTTCTTGTACTAGAAAACTGATGATGGCTAAGCTATCGAATGCTATTTTATAAATAATATTGTTGGCAATGACTAAAAATTATTTCATTGGAAATGCCAACGAAAACTCATCACAATACCAACAAGGTTTCTAGGAAGCCTAGGCGTATGAACGGAGACTAGGCTCTTGCATTAATGCTCTTGATATAATATGACTGAACTCTACCCGCCCTATCATGTGAAAGAGGCCAAAGAAAAATGTTATCCTCCAAAGGAAAGTGTAGACGTCACAGAGCAGTATATAGAAATTAAATTGCAAGCGCTACTGGATTTCACCGTTTCTAGATTGTGCGAAGTGACGTGTGACGTTATTGAAAGCACAGAGACATAAAATACAATGGGTGCTAATTTCGAAGTAGGGGTGTGATGGTTCGACGGATCAGACCTGCTACAAACAAATAAATCTTGATAGTGAATACCAGTCAGACGAAAACATTTCAGTGTATCATTGGTGCCACTGCCACTACAGGTATACTCAGATACGAGAATAGGTAAAAATATAAGGCAAAATACACGATCAACTCGATTTTGTAGGCCTATAAGTTAGCAGAAACTCAATCTGTCATTAGGGAGGAAATGGGAAGCGTTCGCTCTCAAAGCTAGTGCCTTCAACATTTTCCGTGGCAAACTAAAAACAATGTAGTTACCCACAAACGTTTGTGCACCATGGACGATGACAAAGTCTGTAGTAGTTTATCGTAGTATACGTCATTACAGAAGTGTTACATCTGCAGTGCAACACCTAAAGAAGTGAATGTTATAGATTGCTCAAAGCATAAACAGATCAATCCAAGTATGTCGGAATTTGGCTTATCACCTTTACATACCATGATTCGATTTTTTTAATGCCTTCTACACATTGCTTACCTCTTGGAAGTAAAAATTTGGGCCATTAGGAGTGATGACAAGAAAATTGTAGAAGCAAGGAAAAGTATATTCAGCAGCGATTTCAGAAAGAGTTGGATTTAATTGACAGGTCGAAGAAAGGATCTAGTAATAGTAATGACGGCAATACTGCCCGGAGATTGTTCAAACACGAAGCTCTAAGCGCTGCTGTTACTGGAATCCATGAATATGTAATTCACAAATTTAAAATAATTCTGGAAACGTTTGCTTGTGGTCATGAAATTAATAAGTCAAATTTCGGGACGTACGTTAAAGACACAAAAGAACTTTATTTGAAACACTATAATTGGTACTACGTGCCAGTATCTGTGCATAAAGTTCTTGTTCATGGTGAAGTATTGACAGCAATATTCTGCCGATCGGGCAACTTTCAGAGGAAGCGCAAAAAGCGCGTAACAAAGACTACAGACGTTTCAGAGAATGTCACATGAATGTCAGAATGATCTGTTTCACAGACTCCTAGTATCATCTGATCCTTTCGTCAGCAGCACCAGAAGACCATCTGTTACACCCGCCGCAAACACAAATACACCAAACGTTTTATACCACCAAAACAAATTACACTGCAACCTACTTAGGCGTCACTTTTGATCGAAGGCTGCGCTGGCATTTACACGTCAGGCGAGTTCGATCAAAATTACAACAAAGAGTTCGACTATTCCAACCTCTTGAGGGAACATTACCTACCTCCCCTTGGAACTTCGCTTCGCTCTCTATAAAACGTGTTGCCGGCCTGAGACCACCTACGCTGAGGCAACGCGGTGGACTACAGCACAGAAGTACAAGGATACACTTGAGCTGGTACAGAACATAGGTTTACGGCTGATAGCACGCCTTCCGTTTCGCAAACGGTAGCAAGTACTGAAGAAGGAAACTGATATCGAGTCCTTCACTCAATGCTTGAGACGGCTTTCCTTTAACGCAGCCTATCAAGTCTTTCAAACCGACGAAGCTCCTTACACATAGCAGTAAAACGCAAAATTGCGTGCGCGCTGCAACACACAGCACAAACCTTTGGCAAAGCCCCCCTCCAAAATATTATATATATATATATATATATATATATATATATATATACAAAATTTTAAAAAATAAAAAATAATTTGTTTTTAAAAGAAAGCCACCTCTGAAAAGCCGCCAAAGCAACTCCAAGGGGAGAGCTCCGAATTGAAGAATTAAAGTAAGCGACTACACATCCGTTCCAGAACAAATTCCGCACACACTCACGCCTAAAATACTTTTTAAACGTTACTTCCAATCACCAGGAAAATTCACTTGATAAGGACGGATTTAGCACGCCCATGGAGTACCATACTATAGATATAAGATAATTCAATTGTATTTTTATATATGTTTAGATATTTTTTAGCATAATATGTAAATGTATTGAACTTTTAATCTTTTTAAACTTTCTCCTACAAATTGAACATATATAACATGGAATTTATTAATCGCAACAGAGTACAGTATTCTGTACTTCAGTTTCCAGGCGAATGAAACCGATAATTTTTTTAAACATTTTTTTTTTTTCAGTTGGTCAAATACACGAGTTCAGTTTCACGAGATACTCGTAAAAAGTAATATATGGGCCTCAGGAGAATAACTATAATTTTTGTTCTGTTGAACCTAAAAAAGTATTCGCCCCCTCCCTGAAAAAAAGTTCTAAATTTGCTCTTGCTGGTGTTTGTGTCGCAAAATAATTAAAGACGTTGTCATTGCCAACAATATTATTTAATGCAAGAGCAGCTTTCGATGGCTTAGCCATCATCATCATTAAATAATATTGTTGGCAATGACGTCTTTCATTATTTTATGAAAAATGCCAAAGATATCACACCACAACACCTATGTTGTGTCGCAAGTCTGTGCGTATAGTTTCCACCACAGTGATATTCTAAATACGATACTGGATTTCTACTTGAGAGAAAAGGTTGAGTCGACATTGCAAAAGATTTTTACCATTATTAAAGATTAAATTAATTATTCTTGGGGTCAAAAATCTTTATTGCGGGTTCGATGGGTTTTAAATGGAAGAAATGCCAATCAAAGCGATGGGCACTGATAGATATCGGACATAGTGGGATTGAGAAAAACTTGCGTTGTGCAGTTCAAACAACTTCGAGAAAACAACCAAGATATCTAAAATGTGGATGCCACATGGGTTAACTTAAAT